TCACTCCTAGATCAGGAAGACTATGAGTTATGTATATCTTTGTGTCACATGTACTAAATCAAATTTGTTCCTTACAAACTTCGGCACTTATTTGCATAGAGTCTAAGGTTGGGAATGTGTGGGGCTATCAAGTGCCTTGGGGGCAGGAGCTATTCAAAGTGAAAGAAAAGAGAGTAATGGGAGGTGGGAGGATAATCAAGAAAACTACCTTTTTTCCCAGAGTTGATTAAAGGTCCCAGTATTAAATGAACAACATAGTTTATCTGCAGTCCTGACTTTTTTATTTAGTGTCTGTTTCTTCATACAGAATTTGGAGAAACATAGGCATTGGTTTACATGTCAGAGCTGAAAGTCCCTCTCTTTATCCAAGAATATAAGCAAGTTTAGGGGCCACAGTGGCAAAATAATCCTCATATTCAACATTGATTTAAACGTTTTTGTCATGGTCATCATGCTAAGATTGTTTCCAGTTAGGGTTTCAGTAGCTGTCATCATTTTCAAGGGCTTTTTGTATTTACTACTTTTCCACAGTAACTGGTTTGTCTAGGCTCACTTTCTATGTAACAAGAAGTCGTCTTACTGTCTGTTGCATATGATTTGCCCACTTTGATTTCTGCCTGCACTCATGTTGCTATCTAGCATGTGCTTCTGTGTGCCTTAGTATCTCCTTCCCTTCCTTTAAAACACAAGCAGGGAAGTAAGGTGACAGCAGAGAAGCACCCTGAAGGCTGAAGAGGGGTTGGCCAACTGATAGGAACACTAACTGAGAGCTTGGGGAGAAGGACAAGTCAAGTCAAGCTCATTCCCCAGGAGAATTCTGCACCCAGTTCTTTGGTCACATATTTACACCAGAAACTCTCTGGAACTCCTGTGTGTATGATCAGGTACACCCGCGCTTTGCCATCACTTAAAATGATGGATTCATTTATGTGGTTTATTGAGGTAACTCGAGCAGGAAACCTCAGTGTCAAGAAATGGAGGCCCTCAGGACTGGCAGTGCAATAAACTCACTAAACAACCTTTGCCAAGTCATTTAACTTCTCTGGGGTTTTCACACATCTGTGCCTTTGCAAGTGTTATCTTTCTACTTGGAATTCCCTAAGCTCTATGACAGGCAAGCTTTTACTCATCAGCAATACTCAGTCTGGTATCATCTTCTCCCTGAAACAACCTGACTCTCCCCACCTACGCCTGAGTGGTGAGATGCCGCTTCCTCTGTGCCCCTGTGGTACAGTCATTATCTACGGGCATGTCCCTCTCCTGCTTTGCTTCTAGCCTTACACACTGTGAGCTCCCCAATGAGAAATCACTTGATTTCTCTGTTTTTGAAATACTAGTACCCACCACAGAGTTTGACTTACAGTAAACACTCAATATGTGTTTGTCAAACCTACAGAATGAACTTCATGTTTTTATATTTATTTATATGTTAAGTAGAATTGGGCAGGAATGATAGTTTTTAAATGTTTAAAAAGTAGAAGAACCAGTTTTCACAATGAAAAATTTAAGAGAAAGACCAATAATGAAAGAAGAAAGTGCTCTTTTAGAAGAATGGGATTCCAGAAACCCGTCCACAAGACCTCTCTTCTACCAGAGGTAGAGAAATACAAGTAAAACACATTGGCCTACAAATCATGGTTGCTCATTTCTCTTGCAGCTATCAAAATATAAATCTGTGAAATGTATTTCAAGTAGCCACCATTTTTTATGTGAACATTTTTTGGTAAATTTTTCCTAAAATGTAAAAAATACTGACCTGCTTCTCTGAAAACGAGAAGGCACAGCTAACATAACAGAATCTATCTTTAATGACTTGGGCTCTCATTAAGAACATTGACTGTTTCACTGAGCTGAATTCACAGAGGCGTTGTTATGACGTGTTATTTTCCTATGTCTGTCAGTTGTCATCTCTTCTGCTGTCATTTTTCTGACCTAATAGCTCCCTTAGCTAGTATCTTTTCCTCAAAGCCCCTATGTCCTAAATTTTCTGTGAGCTAAAACAATAGAAAATAAAGTTTGTTTAGAAATGTATGTTCACAACAAAAATGAGTAGGAGTTGAGAACATTGATGGTCATTGTGTTGGCACCATGTGAAGGTCATGAAGGGTATTTTAGGTCTTTAGAGGCTTAGAGTTAATTGCTGCTTTTTATGTCCTTGGGCCTGGGGGTTGCTGAAGTCATGCTTCTGTATAACTGAGGTAGGAATATGTGTTTTCTAGAAAAACTAACCTTGGTCCAATCTGGGAATGACTGAATGTACCTTAAATGATTTAAAGCATTTACACCATTTATTTTTACAAAGCGAATGTTAAAATACTTTTGAGCATGAACCCTTAATGTGTGTTTACTTGTAAATGAGACACAATTACTTTTGTACTAATAAGTTTATACGTGTTATAAAATGTACTCAAAAACTGAAATTATAAATAACATGTAAACAAACAAATGCTCGTTCTAGTATTTTCTTTTCACATTCCAGACAATTGTCTTGTGTACTTCCTGAGACGCACACACAGTTACACACCCTACCTGTAGACCTCTGGTTTAGATAACTGTGTAAGGATATTAACTTGGACTTTAGCTAGGCAGATAAGCCTCTGTCCAAGTGAAAACTAATTTAGCTGGTTTTTAAGATAGCAAATCAATTTTTTATTATCTGCAGAACCTAACTATATGCATGCTACCATATAGTAGGTGCACAGTGTTTCATGATGACTAAGTAGTCCATAAGGACACTTCATAAACTCTTTTAATTAGTTCATTTACTTGCTTACCTAATATTAGGCCTCTTTGACAATGTGTCCACATAGTATACAATATCATCATTAATATGCACATCAGTAGGCAGTAAGACACACTGGAATTTCAGTGGCAGAGGGCTTTAAGTCAGGGCCAGGGCACTTAATTCCACTGGGAGGCTGGTCCCCACAAAATGTTTTCATCCATCTAGATTATTGTAATATGAGATGTGGCAAAATCTGGCTTAATAAAGATCATCAGGTGATACCCAGGGGCATCTGGGTGGTGGGTGGGCACTAGCAGTAGTAACTAAATAAGGGTGATTCTCAAAGCCAGGCACGTAGCAGTATTATGACACTAGGCATAGGACATACAGAGAAAGAGGAACCAGTCACAACACATTTGGGTTATGTTACAGTGCCTAGCCGTCTTGTACCTTCTGCTCTTACACTGCATTTGTACCTCATGCACTCAACATCTTAGCATAACTTCCCAGCCAACAGAGTACCATCCATGCGTTTGCATTCCAGACACCAATCCAGCAGACTACTGGACAGTTCCAGTTAGGGTCTCGCAGGTACCTCAAACACTACATCATCCACCTGGCTAATGAAGCAACTTTCCCCAAACCTGCTTCTCCCCAATGTGTCCATCTCCATAGGTGGTAGTAGCATCATCTACCCAAAGGCAGAAACCTGGAAGCTGCCCTTGATTCCTCCAGCTCCCTAATCCTTGACCTCTGTTTGCTTGGCTCCCCTTGGCAGCATCATCCCTAGCCTAGAGAAGCAGGATAGCCTTGTAGTCAGACAGGCTTGAGTTCTAAGTCCTTAATAGAGTAATCCTAGCAAGTTACTGATGAGGCTGACATAAAAATTCATTGAGATAATTTGTGTAATATACATGGCATGGTTACCTGGTATTTTAATATGGCTCTTGTGATGTAGCCATTATGTCATTCTCAACATTATCCATCACTGACTATGACTTTCCAGAAGAATGCTGTAAACTCTTGATACTTACGGAATTTAACATCTTAGTGAGGGGATATTTTTAAAAAATAAAAAAATATGTAGTAAAAGAATTAAACAGAATCTTTGAGAGCAGCTACTTTCTATCCCACTCTTTGATTGCATGTTATGCTGAAGTAGATGGTGATGCTTCCTAAATAATTATTGTCTAATGGTAATACAGTCACCCCCAGAACTGATCTGCTTCTGTCAGGCAGATTCCAAATAGTCTAAGCCCCAAGGAAAGTTTTCTGGACAGTTAAGGCACTTCGATACACATCATTTCTGAAACCTCTAAATTACAAAAAAACACTTGTTAGTCATAGGTCATTGGGCAAAATGTCTCATTTTCTTCTTGGGAGTATCTGAATAAATGTCATCAGAATCTTAAACGGTGTTTTTCAGGTTTAATTGAAAGTAAGTTTGGTTGCACTGAACCTTTAAAAGCAAGAACTGGATCTTCTCAATCAAATGGAATCAATTTCAATTGGTTTTTTAAGAAATGAAATTCCTGGGTTATTACTATTAATGATACACTGAGAGTTGTTCTAGCTTCCTACATGTGAATCCTGTGTTTCACTTACAGGGAAATAAACAGCAAAAGTTATCTGAATGTATTTTTAAAGTACTTTGTATTTACAAATTACTTTATGCTTGTTCCAGGCTCATCAGATTGAGTTACCATCAGAACATCTCCTTTGTAAATGGAGAGAGTTAGTTAACATTTCACTTCCCACCAGACTGTAAGTTATCTTGCCACAGAAGCTGTGGATCCAAGAATTCAGTGTGCAGCAGGCCAGGCCTGGGGCCAGGCAGGTCCTCAGGTGTGTCAGGCGGCCTTACCTGCCCCGATGCCTCCAGTGGATTCCTGCAGCTACAGCTGGCTTTACAATCCAGGATCCTGTTTGGTGAAAACAACACCTGAAAAACACAATAAAGGTAACTTCACAGTCAGAGATTAACAGACGAAACAGTCAAGGGTAAAGGTTTCAAAACCACACTTTACCCCAGTAGGAAAGTTTGATATTTTTGGTATTTTTTTCATTTTGCAACTGTCCCTTCAAGGGTTCTACTTCGCTCGGCGCATGCCCAGAGCTTCAGAGCCCTGAGGCAAGGCTGGGAAGAGTTGTTGGGTGAAAAGGGATGGGGTGACTCCGTAGGCAGGGGGACCCCTGGGGAGTCAGGTACCAGCCACCCCCTCCTACGCCGGCAGTTCGAGGCCCTCCCTGTCCAGATAGGGTGAAAAGAGCAGCCGAGGGGGGGCAGTGCTTCAGGGCTGTAGGAGCGGCGGGAGAGGGACAGCGAGGCCGAGGGGGACGGGCCCCCTTGGGGAACTGGCCGGGCTGCGCGGGCTGGGAAGAGGGGGCGGAGAGCTAGGAGCCGGCGGAGCGGCGGCCGGCGCAGCTGCCGCCCTGCAGTGTCTGGGCTGAGCCGGAGGGAGGCGGGGAGGGCCGCGCAGGGGCGGCTGCCACCGCCGCCAGGCCGCCGGGCCGAGATGCGGCTGCCGCCCGAGCCGCGCTGACCGTCCAGGGCGGAAGAGGAGGAGGAGGAGGAAGGCTCCGAGCGAGCTGGGGGGGATGCCGAGGTAGGTGGCGGTCCCCCGGGGCGAGGCGGAGGAGCGGCGTGGCCCCTTCCCCCGCTCCTCCGGACCCAGCACCTTCCCGCCCCCCACCGCGGCAGGGCCGCCCTCTGACCTCCCACCTCCGCCGTTGTCAACTTGTTGGGTAACAGTTTTCTTCCCAGGTTTCGAATCAAAACTTCCCTGGGGTGGGGTTGGCGGAGGGAAGCGGAGGGGAAGGGAATGTCCCGCAGGGGCGGTGTGCTCCTCTCTAAAAACACTCTTCTTTTCCCGCCAGAAGCGGTCGAGGCCCCGCACCCCACGCCGACGAGCCCTCCGTGCGTCCGGCCCGCAGGGCGACGAGCTAGACGGCGCGGCGCGGCGAGCGGCCCATGTCCGGCGCGGGCGAAGCCGTCGCTCCTCCGCCCCGGCGCGGGGCCGAGGCGGGCAGCGGCCGGCCGGGCGCCCCGGCCGCGGGTGAGTGCGCGCTTGCCACTGGCAAGCTTCTTTGTCGTCGTTGCAGTTTAACACTTGCTCCCGCTTTGGGGTGGGGGGCGGGAGTTGATGCAGAGAGGGACGGATGCCTCCATCGTAGTTGGGAACTTTTGCACAGTTCGCGTTACTCAAGCAAGTTCTCCAGGATTCCTGCCCTAGATCAACAACCGGATAGGAGGGCGGGATCCGCTGGTGCCTCCACTCCCCCTTCCTTTGGCTGCAGAGAAACATGATGACAGGATTTCTTCTTTCTTAAGCATATGCATTTCAAGGCCTAAGACTCAAACGTGCGGCCATCCGAAGCAGCTCCCTCTCTTTACTTCCCTTCAGCTCTGGTGTCTCCAGAACCAGGACTGGGGCTTCTCTCTGAACAAGCACGCACTCTCCGTTCATTTTCAGTTTCTTGTGGGCCACTCTGCAGCTGGGCTGACAATCCAGGTTTCTGTGAGCCACTGCTTTGGAGTGGCTTCTGCATGCCTTTTCAGTAACTGTTCTGTTTTGAAATAAACATGGTTTAAAAGAAACACTCTCCAAGAAGGAACTAGCTCCTTTGTGTTCTTCCAAAGTATAAACACATACAGCCTATAAAGAAAATTCTCGTTTCTGTGAAACTTCCACAAGTTTATAAAACATAAAGACACTATCTTTATTCTACTGTCAGTAAGGTACTTCATTGTCACATCAGTGACAGCAAGGGCCTTCCTTTTCTGATGAATTTTACTCTGATAAGAGAGTTCTGACACTGATGATACACTAAATTTTCCAGGGCTCAAAAACCTCCTTTACACTTGATTTTTAAAGCATATCGGATAGCAGCTGTTTTTTTTTTTTTTTCTTATCAGTAATGTAGTGAGCTTCCTGAGATTCTTTTTTTTAAGACAGCAAAAAGTTAGAAAGAAGTTAATGTTGAACCCACAGTAGGTAAAAAGCAGAAAACATCCATGCGAACTTAAAATGTTCTGGCATTTGGAGCTGGTAAATTGAATTCTTTTTATCGTTGTCTTTTGTTTCTAAACAGTGAGTCATTTTTTTCTAAACAGAAAATCAGAGAACTAGAATGATAAACATGTTTTCCTAGAGGCAGCCGTTGCTCTGCAGGTTGTACTACCAGTACAATCATGATCCTACACATCAGGCATGCCTTCAATAGTTGATCTACTCATGGGCAGGGTATGGAGCCATTCATCACTGTTGTTAAACAATGTTTATGTCAAAAATTAACTTCAGACACACTAGAAAAACAACTGATTTGGAAATAGCAATATCTATAATATCCAACTTTAATAATATGCATTTTTAAGGTCGGGTAGAAGAACTTACACTGGAACTTAATGCACCTGTGCAGATGCGGCTGTGAAGGTATCGGTGCATTTGGAGTAGTCTGAAATAGAATGTTGACTATATACAGGACTCACATTGTTGTGTAAACTCTTGGGTTATATTTTACCTGAGAAGTGGTTTAGCCTCAGCAACTTAGTTACATATTGCTTTCTTACTAGTTTAACTTTGACTCACAACATCCTTGAAATTGGCATCAGTTTAATTGTAAATAGAATATAAAATTGATGTTTTAGAAGGAAATCCTTAGAATCTTGTTAATTAGTGAAAAAGCTTTGCTCACAGACTGCTCTGCTCTTTAAGTTGTACCTCTAGTTCTTTTAACTTCTTCCTTCTGTCCTTGGATTCTTAATCATCTTTTGAAAAGAATAGTTTAATTATATTCCCTGGTAAGATGTGGCTCCTTAGTTAATTGCAACTTAATTTTAAAAATTTATATATTAAAATCAATGAGAAAAACAATATTTTATGAAAGTTAACAGCAAGTGTATTTCATGAAGAGGAAGAATAAGGGCAAGTCTTCCCCTGCCAACAAAGTTATATTTATATCTTTATATATATGCATGTACATAAATATGATAACTTATATTTGTATTACTACTATATTGTTATGGGCTTTCTGTATTGCTAACCAATTGCATAAACATTAAAATTGACAGTTATTTTGGGGGGTCTAGTCTTAACTCCCCATCAGATCTAGAATTCCTTTCTACATTATTTCAGACGATTAGTTGGAAACCCACAGGGTAATACATTCTACTTAACAGCATTCAGAGTTATGAAGGTTTTCCTTACTGATAGCATAGCTGTCTTTAAAACTTCTACCCTTTTTCTGTGAGTCTGCAAGTGACATTCGATTGCTTTGGGAGCATTAAAAATCTTTCCTGTGTATTTTGAAAACTGTTACAGAGCAAGACTCAGCTTTTATGCTGCAAGCTGTAAGAGGGAACCAGGGTGGATGTCAGAAGATAGGGAGCCATGGGGATTGCAGGCCACTGGATTGCTCATTGACCAGGAGGCAGTACTCACAGCTCCAGCTCATGGTTGCCATTTGGGTTAAGAATCTTATATTATTTCAAGAGATACTGGAAACAGGGATTTTTATGTATCCTCTCTCCCTGTTTAAAAGTTGGCAACTAATTAAAGACAATTTTTCTCCGGGCCAAACAAAACAGCCACACCTGCAGACTGGAAATGGCCTCTAAGCAGCTGATTTGTGATCTTGGTTACAGAAAACAGAGTAAACATGCAATCTAAAATTGTTTTCCTATTTAATGACAAAACTCTGAATGATTGATTTGATTTGCCTTCTCATGCAAACTTGGGCCAAACATGTTTGTTTTTAGAGAGAATGGATCTTGTATATATGATTCATCTAATTTCCATTTTTTCTTTTTTTGGATTAAGCATCTTAAAATTCAGTATGTTATCAACACTGGAAATGAATTTGCTTTTTTGTTCAATAGTTACTAGAATCCATATCACAATCGAAACAACCTTTTTTAATTAAGTGCTTCATTCTTACATTTGCGATTTGGGATTAGAAGTGTCTTTGGAAACAATTGAGTCCACCTGGCTTACTTTTTAGAAAAGACACGAAAAGAAGTTTAGTTGACTTGCCAAGGGTCTCATACACACTCAGTAGAAATCAGGGTAGAAGCACAATGTCATGGTGACAAATGTGGTTGAAGTGGAGAATCAAAACAACTTTTTCCTATGGATGGATAATTTGAAGATCATAGGCTTTGGATACTGTGAATCACAGGAGCCTGTTCCTTCCCTTAATCCCTGCCCCACCCACCCCATTGCATTTGCCAAGACTTAGGCTGTTGGACTGTGAGTGCTGGAATATACTTTAATGTGATAATGTATGACTTAATGCACTCTGCTCTCTGGGGAGAGTCCTCTGAGACCATTAGACAGACTTTTCATAGCAGGATGCAGAATGCCAATGAAGTTAATTAAAAATAATTTAAAATGGAAGCAAGGGAGAAAATCTCCAAGTTGCGATTACAGAAAAAGAGCTTTGACTAGGCTTAGCTCAATTGCAGTTTATAGTGGCTAGTCAGATTTCCTATACGGGAAGCCTGTTTATGTCAGTTTATACAGTGTATACTTTAAATATCCCCATTTTTCTATTTGTATCACGCTGTTTTATCCCTTCAGTTAAGGATGGCATTTGTCAAAGTGTGTCATCTTTGCACAGCTTCTGTCTCTAGTTCTCAGTGGGGGATGATTGTGCCCTCCACCTTGCATTTCACAGCACCTTGGAGACATGTTTGGTCCGAATGGGGAGCACAGAGGGCTCTCCCAGCACCTGGTGGGGAGAGGCCAGACATAATGCTGAACATCTTAGAGTGCCCAGGCCAGGATAGCCCCTCACTGTGAAGAATTATCTGGCCCAGCATGTTAACAGTGTTGAGACACTACCCTCACCTCTCAAAGAGATTGACATTTTTGGCTCCACTCCAGACTCATAGAATCAGAATCTCTGGGTGTAAGATTCAAGAATCTGCTTTTCTAAGGTGCTCTTATCTACAGTTGAGAATCATTGTTTTAGAGGCTTTTATCTATAGAGAGACATTATATTGATAGATTCTTTTAAGGTCTTTTCTCTTTTTTAGTAGTAAGCCTTCAGAAAGCTTCTAAGAAACCCCTTTTTCAATTCTTTAAGTCTATGGGTATGCTATACTAATGCTCTCCAGCACTTTTATCACATACTCCAATTAATAAAAATAGGCCTGAGAATTCGTCCTCAAAATTTTTCTTTTCAAAATTACATTTTCTGTATTCCAATTGTATTGTGAGCATTAGAAAATAAATAATAAATATTTAGAAGAGTGAGAGAAAAACAAATAGATAAATAGATATTTTGATACTTTTCTTCTACCACCTCAGTAGGTATTGTTGCCCTGCCAGCCTACACTTCTCTCTGGAGATCCCAGCATTAGGGAATAATAAGGAAAAAAGCCTTTAATTTGTCCATCAGTTGTGTTCATTTGTTAAATTGGAGTTTCGGAGGCTGAATTATCCATTAGAAACAAAGTGATAAATTGTACTTACTTCTGTGATAAGTCTCTAAGGATTGTTGGAATTAAATTTTATTAAATTTCATATCTTTACAATAATAAATCATAGAGAACATACTGTGTATTACAATACTGGCAACCAAGTATAAATAACCAAGATCAAAATTAAGTTGAATAGAAACTGGTTTGAAACACTTTTGATTATAAGTGCTTGAGAAAGGAAAAGATTAAACAATTAGGAAACTTATCTAGATTTGGAAGAGGATGTGGGGGCATTTTCAAGCACCTTAGAACTTATACTCCCTTTTCTTCATTATGTCTAAAGGATCTAATGTTCATTTTGTAAGTTTAACTATAGAAGAGCCAGGCCTATCAGCTAGGAAGTTCATTTTCCCTGTGCTAAGAAAAAGGACAAAATAAGTTAGAGAAGGATGTAGCTGAGAAAAAACTAAGAGGGACAGGAGGGAGGAAGGAAAGAAGTGGTTTACTTTTGTATGTGTAGAACTTTAAGAAAGTATAAGCTGAGCTGGGAGCAGACATGCGGAAGAAGCAGGTAAGGAGGCGCATCTTGAGTGAGGTAGCACCCTGACTCTTAAGCAGGTCCTAATATGTGTC